CTTGTGCTGATAAGACACCGGTGGTCTCAGCAGCGTCGACGAGGTGTGCTAGGTACTTCATTCCTCGCTTCTACTCATCGATCAAAAGGGTTCCCAAAAATTCAGCTTCTTTGTACCTCATAAGCGCGCAATAAATGGCCACAGAATTTTAAGCAATTTTCCACCAAACAGACACACGCCTCCTTGCTTTAAGACATGTTGTGGCAATGAGACATCGCGCATCAATAAGTACTCACGTCTCCGTCGTGTCAAGACCAATTGAAGTAAAAGGTCCGCGAACCAAGTTTCGCTGTTGAACTTGCGCTGAGCGCGTTTCAGCATTTCATTTTTTCCCTGGAGGTGCGGACGCGTCAAGCTTTCAGAGTCGGTCGACCTTTGCCGAGCTCAAGACGCCGATACGACTCCTTGGCTGAATCGCCTGTGTCAGCAATAACGGTCCTCTCTATCGAAATTTTGAACTTGAGATTATCTCCACAATTGTGCTCGGTGCTACAGTCCTCACACTTTTAAAGCGATGAATGTAGCCATTTCTCTTACAATTCTTTCTAGATTCTGGACATTCAAAATGTCCAGAGCAGCAGATGGGATGATGACTCGAGACACGGCTCGAGGACTTGACGTTGCGCTTCGAACTTGTCTGTGGTGCGCAACGTCAAGCCCTGCCCCGGCCTTCGGGACAGGTACGTAATTGATGCATTAACCGACTCTCTACATTCTCAGTACTCAGAATATTCGGCTCGCCATCACTGGATCGATCGTCATCAAGCGATCTTAACGACTCTTTCACAATAAAGAGTGGCAAAGCAGATTTCACAGTAAAAAATGAGCTGACATCTCAATGTGTATTCAGTCTGAGCTCATAGATTGCGTCCAAACATGTCATGTGAGCAATGCGACCGTATACCTGAACAAAGGTGTAATAGTCCTTTGCTTTGATCCGTATGAGATCACAGAGCTCGATCTGGAAGGAATAGAAGGTTGCCGATGTTGTTTAGCATAACATCGAAAATGAACAGTGCGAGAAGATGTGAGCGGCGAAGCGGGGCGAGCCGCTTTTTTAGAAGCTCCACACCGCTTTTGCTGCGCTTTAATTGTGAGAGACCCAATCTTACATCGTTCTTCCACCGCTCACATGGCAGGATCAAGACCCAAATATCTTGGCCCCGTAAAATTATGCGAAGCGAATACATGCACGATGGACAACTAAACGTGCATGCGCACAACATCGACGGACCTTGCTACTATACAAGGTGCATTTATACCTTGGACCACCTGATACGCATATCATCCTCTCTTCTTCACGCTTCGCCCTTGACAAGGTAATTGGTCGTTACTAATGCACTGTTGCCCTAAGCGGCGAAGATAATCAATCAGAGGCAAGCAAAAGAGCACGAGGAAAGACGCAGGCCTGAATCCAGAGGCCACCAGGAGCCGTCACTGTTGAAGCGACAAGAAGAACCGAGCTATTATCGTGCAAGATGCCAGATAAGCCCATTAATATTCATCAGCTGTGGGATCTAAGGACATAGTTGATTGTACGCGCCGAGGTGGATCGGC